TTACAACTTTTCATCCCAACCATGCAGACAAGAAGCCCCACCATGACGTTTGCAAATCGTTAGATTGTCGACAGGTATAATCTTCGGAGCAAGGAAGCCAAGACCCTTCTGTAGCTTAGCTTTATGTGCAGTTTGCCTTATCCTTCAATATGTAATTTGGATTAATTTCTAATTTTACAATGTTTTTAACGCTGCAGGGGTGTTTGTGGAGAAGTGAAACTGGCATTTGAGAAGTCAAACTGTAAGAAGGTAGCTGTGAAGATTGTACATAAACCCAAATTTGCACAACTTGTATCTGAACGAAGTGTAAGTATGACCAACTGAATTACACAGTATCTGTGTAATTTAATCTGTGTTTTTGTTTTGAAGCCAAAGGAGATTAACATCAGCAAACTGAGGGAACCTTCTTGTTATACAAGATATTAAACTGAGTAGAAATCTGGACACGATTCAAAGTATGCCATGAAAATAGTACCAGGAGCACAGACTCTAACTCTCAATGAACAAGTTTAGGATTAAAATCAGAAGCTTGTCTCTAGCAGGCATTGTAGTTCATTAAGAATTGGTTGGCATCTGTGGTTGAATGGGTAGGAAGGGAACTGGTGTTATGGAGATATTCTGTCTAGAACATGATAGGGAATTCTCAACAAGATAGGGAATTATTTATTCAAAAGGTAATTTCATGTATTAAAAGTTAATCCCAGAGATCCAGGTAATGTTTAGGGGACCTGGGTCTGAAACCCACCACAGCAGATGGAATTTAAATTCAATAGAAGCTGGGACTGAAAGTCTAATGAACACCATGACATATTGTTGTAAAAACCCATCTGGTTTGCTCATGACTTGTGGCATGGCAGTTTCCCTTTATTAAATGTAACTCCAAACCTCCAGCCATGTGTTTGACTATCAACTGCCCTCTGAAATGGCCAAGTAAACCTTTCAGTTGTATGCGTAAAATGTCTTGAAGAAAAGGAATGAAACTGGGCGAAATACCTAATATTGACTAAGTCACGATGCCAAACTCAGCCTAGTTGATCGTGAAGAGTCCTCCTCCTCAATATCTGGGGGTTAATGCCAAAATTGAGAAAGATGTCTCCCGATTAGTCAGGTTGTTGTTTGTTTGACTGTCATTCTTGTGCAATTATACATACACACAATGTTCCAGGAAACAGTATCGTCATCTCCTCAATGTCCTGTCTCACTAACAGGGTAAACCCAGCAGAGGTGATGGTGCAGTTTATACAGTCAGAAGGGAGTTGCCCTTTGAGTCTTCAACATTAACTCTGGCCTCCATGAAGTTTCATGGCCTCCAGGTCAGACATGGTCAAGGAACCCTCCTGGTCACCACGTACTACCCCACCACCCTTTGGTTGTTGGAGTAGTCATCCATGTTGAACACCACTCGGAAGAAACACCGAGGGTGGTAAGGCTGCAGAATGTACTCTGGGTGAGGGACTTCAATGTTTATCACCATGGATGGTTCAAAAGCATCCCTACTGACTAAGCCTATCGTGTCCTAAAAGACACAGCTGCTAGATTGGGTCTGAAGCAGGTGTTGATGGAGTAAACAAGGGAAAAAGATACTTGACTTCATCCTCACCAATCTGCCTGCCACAGATGCATCTGTCTATGACAGACTGACCACTACACAGTCCATGTGAAGATTAAGCCCTGTCTTCACACTGAGGATCCCCTCTGTCTTGTTATGTCACATTATCACCGTACTAAATGAATAGACTTCAAATAGGTCTGGCAACTTGACTGGGCACGCAAGTGGTGCTGTATGCCATCAGCAGAGGCACAATTGTATTTCAATACAATCTGCAACTTGATCTGGAAAATCCCCTGCTCTGCCATTACTGTCAAGCCAGGGATTCAGCCCGTTTCAATGAAAAGGGCAGGAATGGCATGTCAGGAGCAGTGCCAAGTACATTTTAAAAATGAAGTGTCATCTGGTGAAGTAACAAATCTGGACTAGCACAGCAGATAGCATAAGTTGCAAGTGATAGACTGAGCTAAGCAGTTCTACAACCTACGGATCAAATTTAAAGTCTGTTGTCCTACCACATACAGTCGTGAATGGTGGTGGACAGTTGAACAACTCACTAGAGGACAAGATGCCATTAATATCCCTATCCTTAATGAAGGGGGAGCATTATACATCAGTGCAAAATATAAAGCTGAAGCATTTCTTCAATATTCATCAAGATGTGATGAGTAGATAAAATAACTGAACGATTCTGAAGAAGGTTTACTCGACCTCAAACGTTAACTCTACTTCCTCTCCATGATGCTGTCAGACCTGCTGAGTTTTTTTTGATCAATTTCTGATTTTGTTTCTGATTTCAAGCATCCAGAGTTCTTTGGCCAATTTCATTAATTGCATGTGATACCAAGAAATGGCTGAAGGCACTAGATTGCAAAGGCAATGGGCCCTGACCATATTCCAGCAATGATACTGAAGATGTGCTCGACAACTTGCTGCACCACTATCCAAGCTGTTCCAGAACAGCTACAATACTAACATTTATCTGACAATGTAGAAAATTGCCCAGTTATATCCTGCACACAAATCAGGGTAAATCCAAACCAGCTGTTTACAGCCCCATCAATCTTTTCTAGATCATCAGTACGGTGTTGGAAGGTGTAATCAACAGTGCTTTCAAGTAGCGCCTGCTCAGCAATAACCTGTCCACTGACACTTGCTTTGGACTTCACTGGTCTATTCAGTTCCTGACATCATTTGAGCCTTGGTTCAAACATGGATAAAAGATCTGAATTCCAGGGCTGAGGTGAAAGTTGACTGCTTTAACATCAAGGCTGTATTGGACCAAGTATGGTATCAAGGAGCCCTAACAAAACTGGAGTGAATTGGAATTGGGTTTGGAGGGGTGAGGAGGTTGTGGAGAGAGTTTTCTGCTAGTGGGAGTAAAACTGGAACGAAGGAAGATGGCCGTGATTGTTGGATGTCAGTCCACTCAGCTCCAAGAGTTCTTCAGGATAGTATTCTAGGATGAACCAGCTTCAGCTGTTGCTATCAGTCACCTACCCTCAATCGTAAGGACAGAAGTGGGGATGGTTGTTGATGACAGCACAGTGTTCGGCAACATTTGTGACTCCTCTGCTAATAAAGCAGTCTATGTCCAAATGTAGCAAGACCTGGACAATAATCAGATTTGGGCTGATAAGTGGCAAGTAACATTTGGGTTCCACCAGTGCTGGGCATTAACCGTCTCCAACAAGAGATAATCTAACCGTCATCTCATCATCATGTGGCATTACCATTGCTGAATCCAGCACTATCAACATCCTTTGTTACCATTGACAGGAAACTGATCTGCACTAGCCATATAAAACTCTTGCTTGAAGAGCACGTCAGAATAGGAATCCTGCAGTGAGTAATTCATTTCCTGAATCCCCAAAAGCTGTCCACCATCTAAAAGGCATAGGTCAAGAGCGCGATGGAATATTCTCCACTTGTCTGGATGAGTGCAGCTTCAGCAACACACAAGAAGCTTGACACCATCTGGGACTAAGCAGCCTGCTTGATAGTCATAAGATGTGCATTCGGTCCCTTCACAATAGATGCACAGTAGCAGCAGTTTGTACCATCTACAAAATGTGCTGCAGAAATTCATTGAGGCTCCTTAGACTACACCTTCCAAAATTATGACTGCCAGCTAGCAGTAAAGGGTAGCAGATACATGGGAATCCCAGCGCCCACACCATATGGTGTGCAATGGTTCAAAAAAATGCAGCTAACCACCACCTTCTCAAGGCCTAGAAAGGATGGGCAAAAATGGCCCAGTCAGCAATGCCCACATCCCATTAATGGATTTTAAAAATGCTGGTGAATCTTTACTGGCTTTGCTTTTTGATTTGTGTCTTTCATGACCGAGTTTAGCACCTGTTATTCTGCAAATTTTTTTTGGCATCCTTTGAGACTGTGTATGTTTGTGTGTAGAAATGGGAAATGAGACTTGGGAACAAATTATAATTTACAAGATGCCTTATGGCTTTTGTGACATTTATTCTTCTCCTTTTACAAGGGCAGTGTAATAATCCTGATTGGACGCACCTCACTGGTGTCAAGTAATGTTCAGCATCTAAATGAACAATAATGTGCTATTATGCCACACAGACCTAAATATCTTATTTGTTCCCCCTTAGTGTATTGAATTTATTGGTATCATCCAAGGCAGTAGTTAGTTGATATAGCTGTCCTTCGTGCTTCTGGGATGGGATATACATTAAATGAGGGCATTTTAGAGATGTCAGTAGACATTCATGTGTAGGCTTGCACATGTAGAATGACCACATTGCCCAGTTTAGTTTTGGTAGTATTTACGAAGAAACAGTTGGTGACTTTTGGGATATTATTTGAGACATAAGTCAGAAGCTTCAGGAAAGAAAGCTTTTAGATTCCCGGCTCCGTGGTTTTCGGTTAACGCAAGTTGATGTCTACAACCTTTCTGATTTACTCTAGAGAAAAGTTATGCATTTAAAATAACAAATGGAGGAATATGTATTGTGAAAGCAGAATCCTTTTATTTAATCAACCACAGGTTTCTCTTTACAATCTACGGGGAATGAATCCAAGTAACTATTCAAGTAACTCAAGTAACTATTCTCTTCTAAGCATGCTTTCCATTTTTAACAGGTGTGAGTATCTCTATGTCAATGAATAAAGCTGCTTATTGAATTAAATGTCAACAGCATATGTGACCATGAGGGGTCTGACAATGAAATGATCAGAGCTTTTCACTAGAGCTGTTAACTGCTTTAAATCATGAGCTGCTGTAAAGTAGGTTTAACACAGCGTACCTAGGCAGCTGTAAATTCTGTTTGGAATGTTTTTGTGAATTAATATACCAAATATTCTGTTAATTCTTCAGTCTCCATGCTATACAAGTCAATTTTAAAAACAGTTCAGCCATTCTTTTGTTTGCCAGTTTGCTCCTGAAACTCTGTCTGCATGCTGTTGAATGCAGTGAATCTTTTGAGTGGGACGGTGTGCATCTATTTTTCTGTAGGTGTGTCCTGGCTCTAAGGTAATTGCACCTACTGAGGAGTGTGCTAATATACTAAAGGCAGCCAAATAAATTGCCATTCCAGAATATTTGCATGTGATGGAACAGTTGACCATTCATTTTGATGCCAAATGACTTACCTCTCATTCATACCGTTGCTGCTTCAAACTGTCTTGATCAATGATGGATGAAAATTTTTAACCATTTTCATACAACTTGATTTCAGTTCTCATTTGTGAATCGAGCTTATTGGCATTGAACTATTTTACTCCAAGCTTCTAATTGAATTCTGTTCCTCTGCAGGATGCTGCTGCAAAGTGTTCCACTTCAAATGTTGCAACAGAAGTTGAGATTCTGAAGAAATTGGACCATGTAAGTCAAAGTGTTTACTTTATTCTATTGAAATATTAATTTCTGATTTATAAATAATTGAAATTTTTTTTTTCTTGAAGCCTTGCATAATCAAAATTGAGGAGGTGTTTGATTTTGAAGACTCGTTCTACATTGTACTGGATTTGTAAGTGTTGTACCTTTTTTGGTCTTAATTTTGTGGAAATTTTCCTTATTTTCCTTATTACTGAAGAAGTCAACTCTGCCTTGCTTTTTTTTCTATTATAGTATTGGTTGCAATAAAATAATTTTAATGAAGTTAACATTCCCTTTTTCTAAAGTGGAATAAATTTAAACAAACCTATAGATCATTAAATGGGCATCTTGATTAAGCACGTTAAGAATATGTTTAAAAGGAAGTACTTGGGCACTGATTAATTATACGTATCTAAATGTGAAGCAACTTCCATTGTTCTTCATTGGTGTTGTAGGAGATAATGAGATCAAAATTAAATTAACTTTAAAAAGTAGTGGAGGTACAGGGGAGAAAGCTATGGTGGACCTATTGAGTATTTCACTAACACTTTCACTGCTTGAATGATTTTTGTTTTTCTTTTGAGACTGTTGATGATAATCTGTTTACCTCTAATCTTGTTTGCCTCTTCACAGGTAAACTTTTTTAAAAAAACTACATAAAAAGAGGGAGGTGGTAATTCTGTCCTTTGAACTTGTTCCATCTTTCAGTAAGATCACAGTTGGTCTGATTGTAATTCTCATTCCCACTTATCTCAGAACCTTCTTAAAGCTTCTGTCACCTTTTCAGGAAGAGAGTTTTAATGACTCAGCCTTCTGAGAGAAAAAGAATGTCTCATCCATGTTGAATTTGAGGCCTCTAATTTTTAAAAAGTGATTCCTAGTTCTTAATCCTCACATGAGGGGGAACATCCTATTCACATTTAACCCTGTCAAAACACGATCTTGTGTTTCAAAAAATTCGCAACTTACCATTCTGAACTGTAGTGGGTGCAAGCCCTGTCCAACCCTTTTTTATCAGAACACCTCTCCCTTTCAAGGTATCAGTCTGGTAAACCTTCTGTGAACTACTACCAGTATGTTTACATCTTTCCTTAAACAAGGTGACCGATATTGTACATAATTTTCCAGATGTGGTTTCATTAGTACCCTGTATATCTGAATGATTATCTCCCTCCTTTTATATTGAATTTCCCTTGTGATGAATTATAACATCATAATAACTTACCTAATTTCTAACTGTGGAGGGAGACTTTGTTTTAGTTCTCCCTTTTAAAACTTGTTTTGACTTTAATGCTTTTTTTTTAATGTCCTCTCTCATTTAAAGTGCCATTCCTTTTTTAACATTCCTTAATTTCTGGTCATATCTATTTTCACTGTGTGTAGCATCATGAGTGATTTACCCCCCCGACCCCGGCTTGCGCTGCTAGAGCTGACATCACTGTTTCTGTGTCTTACAGTCAAAAATTTCGTTTGTTTAAAAGTTTCTCTGCTGGGGTGCTGAAGTAAACTTCATTTTCAATCTTAGTTTTTAAAATTTCTCTGTTTATATCAATACGAATAGAGGAACTGCTGTCAGTTATTTGTTTAAAATAATTCTCTACTTTGCAGTACTTTACCGATAGAGGTAACATAGTTGAGGAATTTGTACTTAAACAGGAATGTAAATTTATTTAAAGACTTCTGTAAAAGCATGAAGCCTGCTTTCTTTACTGAAACTTTCCTTGTTTTGCTTTGCGTGTTATTTCAACTAGGAAGGCATAGTGCTGCGCGTTTATGGTGCCGTATTTCAACTATGACATTAGCTGTTCTAGGTAAACATTGTCCTCCAGAACCTAACATTAGGTTTAACATTGCTATGGGAAAACATGGTTCACTTAAAGTCGCAAATTTTCAGGAATGCAGCTCCAACTTTAACTGAGGACACCTTGTTCCTGCATACTTTTTTTGTATGCCACGCAGTAGCTCACCCAGATCTCTCTGTTTTTCAGAATTCTGCAGACTGTCACTATTTATATAATAAACTTATTTTAAAATTCTTGGAAAGTAATTAGTCAATTTCACTTTTTCACATTATACTCCATTTGCCAGTTCTTTGCTTACTCAAATTACCTATATCCCTGCATGGCACCTGTTGGCTCTCTTCACAGCTTACTTTCCTGCCTTTCTTTGTGTCATCAGCAAATTTAGCAACCATACCCTTGGTCCTTTAATCTAATTGATATAAATTGTAAAGAGTTGAGGCTTCAACACTAATCCCTGTGATACACCACATGTACATTTTGCCAAACTGAAAAAGACCCATTTGTGCCTACTCTTTGCTATCTGTTAGGCATAGATGGAGTATTGGCTTGCTATATGTTATCTCCTACAGCATGAGCTTTTATTTTCTGCAATAACCTTTGACACGGCACGCTATCAAAAACCTTCTAGAAACTAAGCGATTAATGAGAGGCATTAAAATAATTTGTGTTGTGTTAAGGGGCTAGCTATGTTTTGCAACAGGCTGCCTTATTATTAGAAAAGTACCAATGTTTACTAAATCACAAACTATGAATGGAGATGACTATTAACTTAAAGGATTATTCAGATGTATGATCAGTGCATTTTTATGGCTGCTGCTTTAAACTTTTGATCAATTTCATTTTTCACTTAAAGAAAACTGGATTGCTTGCTGCAAAATTTATGTATTAAGCATTATAACTCTGAACTTGCCAAAGGATCCCGGTGTGATTGTTTGTACTCAATGGTAATTACATCCCATAACTACAATTCATTTGAATCTAGGTCCTGATTAAAATATGGTTGCACAGAATTGAATAATTTCTCATTTGTATCCTTTGTCATATGCTACAGATAACCTCCAATTCATACCAAAATCAAATTATCTTGTCATGTAAAGCTAAATAAATTCTTTTTGAGAAATTTATACTTTTTTTTTTAAAAGGATGGAAGGTGGCGAGCTTTTTGACCGAGTAGTCCGCTCAAAAGGACTGAAAGAACAAACGACCAAACTGCTGTTCTATCAGATGCTTCTTGCAGTCCAAGTATGTAGCTATGATTTCTGTTATATTTTGTAAGCAACAAAAACAACTCATTTCTATTCTGATGAGCTAAAAGCAGCCGATCCATCCTTCCTTCTGGTTTAGAAAGTTGTTTGTTATCCCAATCGTTATTCCTATCCTGCTTTTCTAACTAATTACTTCTTCTCCAGAAAGTGTTGATTCATGCTGGGATATTGTCATGAATTCCAGCTGCCCATTCACTTGATATTAATAGCCAGTGTGCTTTTCAAAATAACAAAGGAGCATGGAACTGCATGATCCTTTCCTCACTTCACTCTTTTCTCAGAGTCATTGCATAATGACCAAATGTACAAATTATTGTAGTTTTCTTTTGCACGCTCCATTTCCGCACCACCACTACCATATTTCCCACCATGCAAAGATTTAGCCTGCCCCTGTGCAAAGAATGTGATGGGATGTGTGTATGATAGGATGGGTACCTCCGCATTGTCAAGCACTTTGAGCTCATTCCCACAATACAAAGGATGGGTGGATACTGAAACAGTCAGCTGCTTATCGTTGTAAATAAAAAAGCTGAGGTACAGTAAAGTATGTGAAAAGCTCACTTAAGCCTTCCACATATGTCATAACATGATTGAACAGATTGTTCCAAACCCATTCCTACCACCCCACCATCAGATTGATCAGCAGCCTGAAAGAGTGGGACTTCCTCCAGATGGACGGTGGTCTCTTGCTACTAATTTAGCTTGTTTGCTGTATGATGCAGCACAGGCTTATTATGCATTTGTGACTTTCCCCCTGGGGTGAGGAGAGGTGAGCTTTCTGGAGACCTGTATGTTTCAGCCACCGATCTTGAGAAACCCATCAGCATGAATATAATAGTCTTGTGAAACACTATTTAAATGAACATTCTCGTTTGTTTCCTCTTTCCATACTCTGCTGATACGAAGAGATTTTTCTCTTCGTGTGTTGCTAAAATTTTTCACTTCTTAATCCCATTGGAGGGTCTCATTGTCATGCAACACATCAGATTTAGTAACCTGTTATTACTGGCTCAACTTGCTCTTAAATTTTAAGCTTGAATCTCAGTATTTCTAACTTGCGAAGTATCATTCTAAATGACCGTTTTCTGAATTCTCTTGCCTCAGAATTTAAACAAACAAGCATGCTTATTTGTGTCAGAAATATGAACTGCAGAAATTTTTTTTTTTTAAAGAGTGGTGAAGTAGATATGAATTTTAAAATGCCTTTTACCGGTTAATGCCAGAATTTACTGGCGGGGGGAGGAAAAAAAAAGCATGTGAATGATGTGCAAATTGACTAGTAACTTGCGGAAAAGAAGAGGTAACTGAATTGTCATAAGTTGCTAGCCAATTTTTTGCATCATTCACCTTAACCGTCTGGTGATATTCATGAAATTGTTGAGTTGGTAATGGTTCCATCAATTCACCGCAGAATTCTAGTAGTTGATGCAAGTACTGATTTAACAATGACAACGACTGCCAAACCACTTCTTTTGCCCAGAAAGTGAAAATTTAAAGTGTGAAAAGAGTCGTATCAAGGTTCTGAGTTGCTGAAATTTTAAGTGTCAAATTTTAAAATGAAGAACTCTCTCTCCCTCTCTCTTTTTCTCTGTCTGTCTCCCCTTCTCTATCTCTGTCTCACCACCTTTAACTCCCTGTCTCTAAATCTGATTTGTTATTGAATTTGCCCTCCGATCTCTTTATTTGTTTTTCAGTACTTTTACCCAGTTGGTTAGGGAGATGTTTGTTCCTTTTAATCACCAAAGTCCTCTCTATGTAGTATTGCCTCTACTGCATTCAAAAGGATTTCCTTAGATTAACCCATGTTGGTGAATATCACATTTACTTATTTATCTAATGCTGAGAATAGAATTTCCTAAGCCTGCAGTTCTAGGAGAGATAGCTGGAGTAAGAAATATAAACATATTATACCAACAGGTAGAAATTAAATCAGGCTGTGGATTGAATATCACAAAAATAGGACTAGTGTAACACATGATATTGGTTCCTTTGCTAACCTCAGCTAACTGCACTAATGGAATTTGAACCAAGTATTACGTGGTTCGGTGTTACACTAGACAGTGCATTTACAAGCTAAGACACAGGAAAACTTTTCTGTTACTCTGTCTCCCAGAACTACAAAAGTAGTCCTCTCTCTCTTCCACCAACTGCACTTTAACATTTTTACTGGAACCTATATTAAACCTGAAATTTGACTTAATTACATCTGATTTTTAATGTGTTTGTACATGTGGTTGTTGAGGCTTAAACTTATTCACATCTCATCAGCCTCCTAACGAATGGCCACACTGGTGAACTTCATGTGGGAGCACGACTTTGCATTGTCAAAACGCTACCAAAAGTTCCGAGGGGCCTAGGAAAAAAGACTCAGAAGTCTCAAAAGGTGATAAAACTCTGGTTAAATATCTAGTATTTTAGAACTGTGAATTTTGTTTACTGATTTTGTTTTTAAAAACTGTCACTTGTTTTGATTCTGTGTTTGACAGTTTCATGTAATTTACGATTGTATCAAGGGTGAGAAAAGGGCCATTGGAACTATGTGCCCCATCCCATTCTTTGACTATTTTAACTCCCGTATTTTAACCCTTGCTTCATTCCCCCTGCATCCGCAACCTAGGAGAAGGAAATTAAACAAATCTCTAGAATATCCTCACCAAAAGCCCAAGCAGTTCCAGACTTTTTATTTATTTAGTGTTTTCTCTCTTTCTGCATGCTCTGAGCACCTACTTAAAATAGTTTACTTATTACTACTTGAAAGATGGTCAATCTTTGCTATCACCTATAAAATTCATTTTGACAGATAATTTACCATGTGGGAAAATAAAACTGCAAGAACTGTTTAAATTTTCCTTCACCCTGTCCCTCTGAAACCCCTTTCTTCCCTTTTTTTTATTTGTTTATAGTGCATTGCTGACTGTATCAGTCCAATTTTGTTATTGTCCTGAGCTGGAAAATTTCATCAAATTTGCTTCCAATTTTCACATTTCTCTCCCATTTTAATGTTATCCATCTCTGCTTTTTTTTTGTTCTCCTTCATGACTTCTCTGTTTCTGAGCCTAGGCTGTAGATTTGCACAGCTATCTCAGGCCCTCTTTCCTGTAAAACTTCATTCTATTCTTCCAATTTTTTTCCCTTCTTCCAATCTGTTCCGATGGTGCAGTCTTTCATACCAGCACTTCTGATATTTCTTCCCTTTTCCTCAGCTAAGGATTTCCCTCTCCCCTTAACCGAGTTCAACACTTTTTTTCTACAGTTATCGTCATTCTCCTTCCTGCCAGACCATCATAGGGTTTACTAGTCCTCACCTTCCACACAGCTAGCCGTTATTTTCAATTGATCATCCTCTGCTTTTGCCACCTCTAGCATGATGCCATATAATACGTTATCTGTTCCGTTTCCCAAGACACCTTTCCATGTAAACAGCACCTCCTTTATTTTACTTTTGTCTGCCATCCCAGGCTGCAAACATTCTGAAGTGTAACAGTGTTGTACTTTCAGTTTACTATATTACTGTTCGTAGAACATTGGGAAAACTTTAGCTGATTGGGTCACTGCTTTTGTGGTACTTCTCTATTCCAGTCTGCAAGGCTGCTCCTCCCAAGCTTACGGTTTCTTGTCTCTTTAATTTCTCACCTTGTTCCTGCACTGACCTCTCTGCCCTCCTTCAGCTTTCCACTAAAATTCAGCACAAACTCAAATAACACCTCAGCTTTTGGTTCACTGCTTTACAGCCTTCTGGATTCAGTGTTGCTTTCAACAATCTCTGCACTGATACTGTTTTCTTTTTGCTTTACGGGTTTCAGTTTTATTCTGTTTTCTCTCTCTCTCTGGATGGCAGCTGTTCATCGTTCTGCCTTCACTCACCTTTAGACCGATTTTGTTTGTTTCTTGTACGTTGACCATTTATTGTGTCCTTGTACCACCAACTCCCTTGCTTAATATCTATGGATTGCTACTTTTGCACAGAACATTTTTGTTCCTCTTTATCTACCATTCCTCCTTTCACTTACTTGGAGGTTATTACATTTCTAACTTTTTCTTTGGTTCTGGTGTAAGGTCGTTGACCTGGAATGTTAAATCATCTTTTTATCCCCAGATGCTGCCTGACCTAAGTATTTTCTGTTTCTATTACAATTATGTGGTGGACCTTTTAATTACCTCTGGTGTGAGCTGGCAAACACTGCAGTTTAGGAAAGAATAATTACTATTTGAGAATTGGCCCACAGCCTCATTGGAGGCCAGCAGGAAAAGGGCAATAAAATGTGGCTTTGCTGTTGTTACTCCTCACTTGAGAATATTTTAACATTGGATGACACTCAAAGGTTGCACATCAGGAAGGGTTTGTTGCTTTTGTGGCCACAGAGCAAAAAATTAGGGAGATAGGAAATGTGTAGAGTTGGAGAAGGGGGAGTAAGTGAATATATTGCTTCTCGTGTTCTAGGAAGCTTGAAACAAGATATTTAAACTTTGTTGATGAAGCTCCATTTTTCTTGTCACTGCTCTACCCTCAATTGTTAGTTTGATACACAGTGATGAATCTGGAATTCTGGATATCTATGTATGTACAAAGATCCTAAATCATGCGATAATAATATAGTATAACAAAATATAATTTAGTTTAAAATCCAAAGAGTCGGAGCACATTAAATTTTCTATCTACTTGCAGTACCTTCATGACAATAACATCACCCACCGAGATCTCAAACCAGAGAATGTATTGCTTGCGAACAATGAAGAGAACTGCCTCATTAAGGTACGGATTGTGATGCAGTTTAATGTCATCTGCTGGTAAAACCGAGATAGTGTTGGGAGAGCACCAACGATGTTTGGAGTGGCAGTAAAATAATGCATTGAACATCTGCCAGTGTTGTGTATTATCTACATGGTATATGGACTGTTTTACCTAGTTGTGGTCTCATTTCTGCATGAAATTCCATGTAGTAACACTCTGTAGCTGCACTTCTTCTGATTATGACTGTTTCTATATACTGGTATTTAAAATGACTTTCCCCTATAAAAGTCTGTACCCTTGATATTAGCCAACATTCCAAAAATTCTATCTATCAAAAATTTCCACCTTCATTTTCTTTATGTTCTCAGTCAGATAACTTGGTTGAAATCAACTGTTGCTTCACCAAATGGCAATTTTTGTTGCTAACTTCCTTCCTGGCTCTTAATTTTTAAATCTCCTCCTCATTGTGGATCTTGTGTACCAGATTTTAAATATCACAACACTGGTGACCACAGCAAATCCTCATGGGAATACAATGATCCTAACTCAGACCAGACCAAATTTCTCAGTTTACATTTTCCTATCACAGCAGCTGTCTAGGTCAAGTCCTGGAATTTAAAACTCTGTCTATCCTTTTTAAAACATACTTTACAGCCCAAATCCTTGTCTGCTATCTGGTTCAGGAGCAGCATCTCTTAAAATTTGTCATTAGACTCCAGGGTGTTGGGGGGGAAAAAAAAATCAAGTCAGTTTTATTTCATTTCCATGGAATGCGAATGATGTAGGCAAGGTCAGCATTTGTTGTCCACCTCTATTTGCCCTAGAGCTGAGTGGCTTGTTTTTCTAGCCACTTTGAGGACATTTCAGAGGATGAGTAAGAGTCAGCCACATTGTTATGGGTCTGAATGCATGTTTACGCCAGACTAGATAAGGGCAGCAAATTTCTTTCTCTGAAGAACATTAGTGAACAGATGAGTTTTTACGATGATCAATGATTATTTCATCATTGTCATTTCAGGACTAGTTTTATTTTCCAGACTTATTAATTTTATTTGAACCCCCAGCTGCCTTGGTGGGATCTGAACTGAGTTCCCACTAGTCCGGTGACATTACCATCATCATCCCTATAAGTGCATGTTGCTATTGTTGCTACTCCTTGGTGTACTAATAGCCGAGAAATTGCTATACGAACAGATTAATCTGACCAAACTCAAATCGATGTATTTTTAGTATTGTACCCAAGAGCATATGATGTCAGTGGTAGTGTCCCTACCCCGGACTGGAAGGCCTTGGTTCTAGTTCCACTTGCTCCAGGGGTGTGTAATAACATCTCTGCACAGGGTGAGTACAAAAATAGGTTAAATAAATAAGTTATTCTAATTAATCATCTATATTAATTGCACTTTTCATGTGGGCAGTTTAGCAAACTAAATTGAACTATGGATTTGGAGTTATCCCAAAAAACCTACCCTTTAAGTTTGTCTTGCTCCTTTACTCTTCTTTGCTTGCAGGTGTTGTGGCAAAGCATGTTGAACCATGTTAAATGCTGTGTAAATTGTGCAAACTACTATTAAATCTTTTATAGTTCCATGCAAGCTGTATTTAATAATTGCTCTGTTCTCCTTCATTCATCAGGGAACATGGCAGTGCTTAACTGAAATCCTTCAATACACAACAAAGATTTTGAGATACTTTGTCTCTTTAAAAAGTTGCATTTAATATTTTGGAACACTATTTTTATTCTTTTCAAGATTACTGATTTTGGTCTGTCAAAGATCTTGGGAGAAACATCCCTGATGAAAACGTTATGTGGAACACCCACCTATCTAGCTCCAGAGGTGTTACTGGGTGCTGGAGCAGGCGGCTACTCCAAAGCAGTGGATTGCTGGAGCCTAGGAGTTATACTTTTCATATGGTAAGTCATTTGTTTTGCATGAATTTCAACTGAAGTGTTGGCTTTTGGATGGAAACTTCTATTTGAACAGGGATCTAGTAAACTGAAGCACAGTTAATTGCAGTTTTCACTTTAGGCTTGAAGTGAACTGTTAGTTTATAATCAACACAACAGCAAAAACAAAGTTACTGGAAAAGCTCAGCAGATCTGGCAGCATCTGTGAAGGAAAAAGATAGTTGATGTTTCGGGTCTGGTGACCCTTCCTCAGAACCATTTTGTTAGTTTATAAACATCTGTGTAACTTGATGGCACGCAGGAGTTTCTTTGAAAAGCGGGTGTGCACTCTGTTTTTCTCACTACAGATGCTGCCAGACCTGCTGACTTTCTCCAGCATTTTGTTTTTGTATGGATCAAATCTTTTCTTAGTAGGCTAATTGAAGTTATTGCTTCTTAAGAACATAGGAAGGTATAGCATCTAACAATAATACTGTAGTCTTGAGAAATGTATATTTTTTAAACTTATCTTTAAAAAAAGTCATTAAGAGACTGGCAACATGTTTGTAGTTTTGAATTGTGTGCAAATCAGAAGTTGGCATTGAGAGTTTTGTGTATTGTGATGCATGAACTGGAAGGGACATGCTGAATGAACACGTAGGTCTTTTTCTGTGCATTCTTAACTGTACATTCATGTTTAGACATTCTTTTGCATTGTTTGTTTGTACTCTACAGAAGTTCAAAGAGGTGATGCTTCCTATATGAGAACTATCAGCTGGAAAGTGTCATTTTCCGTGGAGTTAATCTGTTTGAAATTAATATAATGTTAACTCTCTTAAACTTCACATTGATTTACTAAGTTTTTAAAAGGACTCAGTTGATCTTTATTGATTCCTCTGGCTTCTGAACAGATTTGTTTTATTAAATGGAGGGTGAATGTAAGCCGTATAATTTGTTTTGACTTCTGTTTAAAATGCAAGTACTATTTGGTCAGTCAGCAAGGAGGGCATGACCCCCTCCTTCCCAGTGAATTATGGAAATGGGTGGATACTAAAGATTTCATAAAATTTTGGTCTTGCGCTTGAAGCAACGTTATTCCAGGTACACGAAGACCGGAGTACTTGAAGATAATGTAATGCTTCATGGGATGAATTTTTTTTTTGTCTTATTACATAACTTAGTCCAACAAGAGGAGCTTGACATCAATGTTTTGTACAAAGTATTATTTTGGAAGAATATCTGGTGAGTGATTGGCAAAGTGAATAACTAGGTCCCTCTATAGTTACTAGAATGGAGACTGTTTGACTGAAGCATTCTGTTTTTCAGCTTGGGTGGATACCCGCCATTTAGTGATCAAATCAAGGACATGAATCTGAGGGATCAAATCATAAAAGGACATTACAAGTTCATCCCACAGTGCTGGGCAAACGTCTCTGAAGCAGGTAAGTGTGAGGCTAACACACAATTTGCAATTAAGGTAAATGATTGAATGAAACATGATCAGTGTTCAAAGTATTAAAACTTTAAGTCACCTCCGTGCTCCCCCCCCCCCCCGCCCCGGACCCACCTTTTTGTTTTTGCCATTTGTGAACATTGGAATTGTGTTGGACGTTCAATTCGGTACAGACACTGGTGGGGAGTATTCAGCCAACGTGACTGTTATATAGAGGGATCACTAGTTTATTTAAAGACAAAATGTAAGAAAGCATAAATAATTTTGTAGCAGCAAGATTTGAATGAAAGACAGCAGAAATTTAATGCTCATTCCTACCTAAAGTTATGTTTCTTTATAGATGAACTCATGGTTGGAAGCTGAGAATTATAAAAAATAAAACTTCTGAGCATGAGAAATTGATTGTTATCCTGTCTTTTAATGGCAACTTTTATTTGTATAACTTTCTTCTGCACATAATAACTTTTCACCTTTATTTCTGTTTAGCGAAGGACTTGGTGAAGCAGCTGCTTAATGTGGACCCAAATAAAAGATTCACAACAAAGGATGCTCTTAATCACTCGTGGATGCAGGTAGAGATGGCTTTTAAAAGTATTGAAGTGTTGGCACTAGCTGTTGTCTTGGAGTATTGCTTAAAGCTGGTTGCTACAATTTGTCACAACCCACTTGGGAAGGTGCACTGATACACAAACCCTACTATACCTGGGGTCACCACAAGTTAATAATTTAATCAAATTACTCAGAATCCTCAAATTTTCTGTCTGACTAACTAAGGTTAACATAAAACACTTCTGTACTTAGGACATTATCAATTTGATCAGCTTTGTTGAAGTTCCACATTCTGGAGGAGTCAATCTCTCTCCCTCTTAGTTAATGATTTATTCTTGGAAATTTTACTTCTAGTGCAACAGAATTTACTAGAATTGATGTGAATTTCTGGTATTCATGAACACACCACTGGTCATATTGAAGGAAATTCAATTGGCTATGCAAATCTTTCATGACTCAATAGTACTCTAAGGTTTTGGAGTAGATTTGTAGCTCCGGTTGTGGGTGTTAAGGTTG